ATTTCCCCCATTAATAATCATAATATAAAACTGCCATATCAAACTGCGGGATATTATTTTAATCAAAATATTTTTTATACGTTATGAAAAACGCACTCATATCATACGAARCAGTCTAAACATCATACGTTTTGTACAGGTGAACTTTGCTCTTACGTCCAATTAAACGTGACGCTGGGCATATTGTACGTTTACTCGATCGGGCCATTCGTGAATTACGCGTGGCTGGCAATCTTGTGTGGCATCTTACCTGTGATCTGGTTCGTTCTGGTCATATTGGTGTTGCCCGAATCGCCCACTTATCTCTGGCGGTCCGGCAAAAAGAAGGAAGCGGAAGACGCGTTGGTTATGTTGCGCGGCAAGGACTATGACATCACCGGCGAGTTGGCGGCGCTGCAGAAAGAGCTCGAGGACAAGAAGCCCAACAGCAAGTTGAAGGATCTGGTAAAATCGAGGGCCACGTTGCGAGCAGCATTCATCGTCTTGGGTCTGCTTGGGTTCCTGTCATGTTCGGGCATCAACGTTGTAATATTCTACGCCGAGTCCATATTCAAGTGCGAAAACTGCATCATATCCCCGAAAGTCAGCTCCATCGTCATCGGACTCCTCCAAGTGAGTATACCCAAACGGCAATAATTGTTTTTATTGCATTCAAGTGTCCGATGATGAGTTCACGTGTTGGATTAGTTTTTTCTTATCGATCGAAAATATTTTTGTTCGTCCTTCTCGGGCGTAATGTTATACTTATGTTTCGTACATATTGACATTAAACGCGTTAGAACCATTGATCTTACTCATAGACCAAAGTACTTAGTCTGCAGACTTTCATACTCTAATATATCCTTATTAAATTATTCTGTCGACATTTTTTCTCTTTTAAACTCGTTTTTGAAACACTTAATAAGTAAGTAATAAACATCATTGAGTTATAAACTTTTTTTTTATATACGATAAAAATTATCTTGATATATTCATACACGGAGAGGAACATCGCACGATATGTTTTCTACAGTATTTTCTACAAAGCGATATTAGTATTAGATATATTTATGTTCGACAGATGATAACAAAACAAACCGTCATAAAATTATTCGAACATAATTATTTTAGTCATTACCTACTGTAATTATTTATTACGTCGAGATATTATATAGTTGTTATAACCAGTGTCGTGGCGAACGCGGTTATTTTTTAAAAATAACATTGAGTGTTTTTTTAATTCATCATCCTATAATATGGACGATATGGTTTTTGAAATTGCCTAAGAGAGGCAATTTCCTCATGTAATGTTTTTTATAGGACACTGTTAAGAGGGAGATTTAAACCCGCAGTGTTCATTGTTCAAAAATAGGTGGCTGTTCATAGAAAGTTCACCACGCCACTGAATTTATAACATTACAAGGATACGAGAATATCGATCAATATGTTCTATCSCATAATGTTATTTTACAAAAAAATCAACAATCCAATATCGAYCGATGACGATTTTGTGGCACACAGGTCATATTCACTTTCACGTCCTCGCARCTGGTGGACAGGGCCGGCCGGCGAGTGTTGTTGCTGATCTCCGATTCGGTGATGGCCGTGTGTCTCGGATCCCTGGCCTTCTACTTCTGGCAACAGGAGCGGGGCGTCGACGTGTCGGCGTTCAGTCTGGTACCGCTCATCAGCTTGGGCGTTTATATCAGCACGTTCGCGCTGGGCTTCGGGCCCATACCGGGTGTCATGATTGGAGAACTGTTCAGCCCGGAGTTCAAGGGACTGGCGATCGGCGTCGTGTGCGTGCTCGCATCCTTGATCGAGTTCTGCGTGGTCAAATCGTATCAGACCCTGTTGAATCACTACGACCGTGGCGTCACGTTYGGATTATTCGCCGGGTGCTGCGTGGTGGGCACCTTGTTCGTGTTTTTCCTGGTGCCGGAGACGAAGCACAAATCCCTGCAGGAAATCCAAGAGGAACTGGGCGGCAAGAAGRACAGGAGGACCGGCCAGTCGCAAAACGCGTCRGGATCCCAGGGCGTCAGCACTTCAGGGTGATCAACCTCACCACCTTGTGGTCGCCCACCCAAACCGAAATTTCAAACTCTGCTATGTTTCATAATATACAATCGTATTCRCAATGTTATGCTGTTATTCACGACTGATATAAATAAATGAACAATGTAATTACTAATTTTCATTTTTTTTGCTAATTTTTTTTTCTAAAAGCTTCGCACTACATCTACTGTTCCCTTTTTTCCGTAGTACAATAACACCACTCCGTTATATTTTAATTATATATAAATCATCGAGTTATTCATACATTCATAATAGTAACAGCTAAATATATTAAGTTTTCAGGTAATTGGGTTAAATAATAATAATGGCATCTCGGTGATAATCACTGGTGATTTTTTTAAATGTCAAAAAGTCTAAAACTATACTATGCTTGAGTTTCTAGTGTAAAAGTTTTTTTCAACTATCATTTTTCTTATTGTATAATATATTAATAATAYGTAATATATTATTATGTACATCCGAGCGATATTTACACACTACACATACTTTTTCATTAGAGCCATATATTTAACCTAAAAGTTTTTATTAACATTTTGTCTTTCAAAAATACTTAAAAATGACAAATTATTATAACGTGTATATTATTAAGTAGTAATCAATAATCATATCGTGTCGGGATAAACTAATCGCAAAGATTGCAACATGATCCTAGCCACTGCCATCACTACAATAACAATAAACATTAAATCTTTATAAAAAGTTATTTTCGATATGCCTTATTATAATCTGGAAAAAAATATATTGTAATTTATAAAAGCAAGCATAGGTATCTATCATTTATTTTTCTTGATTTTTGAGATACGTCAAGAAATTCTTAGGAACTTTTCAATAAATGGCAAGGGCAAATATAAACTGGGCCCGGAAAGTAATAATAAAAAGGTCCCCACTCGACTCAATAGTTAGATAATAACCGATATAATAATATAATAAACATTTCATTTTTTAATCTGAAAATAATGAATAACGTTACAAAAATAATAATTTATTCATTAGTTAATAGTCAGTTAGGTTTAGTTAGGAAAAATTAGGTAAAACACAAAACAAATTGTAATTTGCAAGTTGTAGCGTAGTCGTACCTAATTTTCGGGGAAATACCTACTATGAAAAAATATACCCAAATAAAAATTGATGAGATACAATTGACACAAATTATGTTTTTCATACAGTGATGGAGAGTCTTTGGTACATTATTATAGTAGAATAATTTGTTAAATGGTAAGTGTCTTGATTCATTAATTTTAAGATTATGTAATACAAAAAAAATTTAGTATGATCTTTTAACTATTAACTAACCGTTTTAGACAATTGTGTAAAATAATATAACACAAATTAAGGTAGGTAAGTACCTATTTCGTAATTAATYTAACCGGCAGGGAGGTTATACAGTCGTACAAAATGATTTCTATTCATAAGAAAATGGAGTTTTTAACTATTTTTCAATTCTATATATTTATATATATCTATATATTTCCATTTGTAAAAATTTTCTAATTTTCTAGTTTACAATCAGTCTATTAAATCTCTTTTTCCGTACAGATACGAATGTATTTATTTTGGGGGTGGAGTGGCCGAGCGGACTAAGGCGTCGGTTGCGACGCACGCAGTCGCCGGTTCGAATCTCGGTCACGGGCGGCATC